GAAGATAACTGGCGTAACAGTAAACCTGGAAGAAAAAGAAAATTGTGGTTCAGAGTCATGTCAACCAGGTCTCACTACTTTGCTTTACAGGATGATCAGGATGTGATAATTTGGGTTGGTTGCAGTGAAAATTGAAACACAACCTTACAATACTTTTAGTATTACTAAAATTTGTATATAATAATGGAGCATACCTTCAGTGAGAAACAATATTTTTGTGTGTCGTGTTTTGCTTGTTTCAAATCTAATCTAAAATTGAAGCAATATACAACAAAACTGTTTTATTTGCAGCCAAAAGCTGAATTACATTTGTTTAAGAATTTACAGATGAATATTACATTCAATTCCAATAAGATATATGTCCGTAGATAAAAATCACACTGTGAAACAACTGGCAGAGGCAATGATAGAAGACCTTGAAACTTATTAGTTTTACACCAAGGAATATGGAAGTTACATTCTTTCATGTCTCAAAGATTGTCTACATGATGATCAGTTTAAGGCAGGTGAAAGGTCGTGAAGTTTATGACTTTGATCATTAATAGGGTGTTAAATAATCTTTCTTATGTGATGTGTTGGCATTCCTGGCCAACCTGTGCTTAAATGCGTAATAATATGATGTGCAAATACTGTACCTGATAAGCAACATCTGAGCCATATTCATTCAAGGTTTCATAACTCACACGTTTAGCAAGAGAGATGCAAGCGATTCGCCTGGGCTGTGTACAAGATATTTGAGAAAAGCCAGCAGAAAGAAGATATTGAGGTATCTATATCAGAAATATAGTGAAGATGGACACTAGCACTTGCGCTTGATCGCAGACAGTGGCAAATACTTGGGAGGAAGGTACCCATGCCCCAAATAATTTTTGAAACCTTTAATCAATAGCTCAATAACTGTGTCACAAAACTGTTGACAATTAATTTTTCGATCATGCATGTGTAAGCTATATTTTAAACATACTTGTGTCGATTTTCCGCAGCCAGTGTCACCAGCTACAATTACAACTTGGTGATCAGTGACATGCTGTACTATGACATCTCTAAACTGACTGATAGGTAGACTGGCTTGGTCTGACTTCAGTTTCTGGAGTTTGGCAAACTAAAAAGAATATAAGTTAAAATATTACTTGTGTGCTTGTGTGGTAATAATTTGAATGAAACAAATTGTCAATTAATTTCTCTTGTAATTGTCTTGCAAGCGCTAATTGGAATTTTAAATGACATGACAGAATCCGCAAAAAAATAAAAAAACGAATATCCTACAGTACTGAAAATCATACTGTATCTAGTTATTAATTTGCTGTCATTTAATTGGCTGATTACAATCAGACTGGCTGTGAAAAGTGACCTTTTACAGGGAACAGCTGGTGTGGATTTTTCTACTTGACATTTCTTCCATTGATTTGTACTGTTTAATTAATAAATGGTTTTCATTAAATATCATCTGTCAAAATCCAAATCATAAAATACAATAATAGAATACATACTTTTTGTTTTTGACAAAAGTCCAAGTAGTAAAGAATAATAGTCTTGAATTCTAACAAGTCATTGACTGTCAAGGAGTTTGATTCATCTCTCTGTGTGCCACGGTAGTCAACTAGAAATGAAGTATTACTACGATTTAGGCACCATGCCACTGTTGCCACAAATATTGATTTGAGGCTTCAGTTAACCCATTGAGTGGCAGCTCTCTCCCCTTTTTTACATTACAGCTGTGTTGTACTGCCTCTTTCTTTTATATTCTGTTTTATTTATCCAGAACACCTTTACAGCAATCGATAAACTTGACTTGGAGAATCATATACTATTCCACTGAAAATGTATACTTGATCATGCATTGATGAGTTTTCAATAGTACCTTTGCTTCTCAGTAACTTCTTTAATGTTCTCGCATCTTTTGTAGCAAGAGAGATGTTAAACTTATATCTTTTATTAAATGTTTCTGGCAATTCCAGTACAGAAGATTCTTTCCCTAGAATTTAATGACCAAAACGTTTTAAAATGTGGCAGTGATGATGATGGTCATAAGCATGATGCTGCTGGTTGTGACAATGCCGGTAGTGCGGACTAAAAAAAAAATACCTCAGTGGTTCCGATTCCCGACCGACCCTATTTTTTTCCCGACCCTATTATTTTTTCTCCCGACCCTATTATTTTTTCAATGCGACTGACAGTGCCACCCTATTTTCTCTGGGTGGTTGCGGGCTGCTCATGCAGTGTACCAACCCTAGGTACTTTTTTTAGGCCTAGTGGTAAACTAATGAGGATGATGGTCTGATGACTGTATGGTGATGACATCTGGTGATCTAATGAACTAATGATGATGATGATCGATGGTGGTTTGAATATGGCAATGTGATTGTGATTCTGTGCACAAAAGTTCGGAGATCTCCGGCGTGGAGATGTACTAGTCTTGGCGTAATGGTGTACCGATCGCTAAGATGCAGGCGTGTTGGCATAAATTGCCCGGCGTATTTCTGTATTTATTTGAAAATATATGCCTAATATTAAAATATTAAATACGAATCATGAAAGTAGTTTGTACTTCCTAAAACTGAAATGCAGACGATCTTGAACCATTGTCAATGATTAAAATGGTTATCGAAAAACAAAACGTGCATAATGCCCTTTTTTCCGATTGTCGACTAAATATGTGTGTCAGCCTTATTGGATAAAGTTCAAATTTCAAATTTCTTGGCATAAAAAAATATTTTGAAACCTCCAGCTCCGGCATGAATAGATTTATTTGCCAACTGCACTACCAAACTTTGCTTAATACATAATTTTTAGCCAAATTGGTAAACTTTTATTCCCTCAGCACATAGAGCACTCACTCTTAGTTCCATGTTTTTTATCTCTTCCATCTTGTTCACTATTTCCTTTTCTTCTCTGGTACTGCTGATATCGCTCAAGAAACTGCCAAAAATCTTTGTACTGTTCGCTCCTCCTTTATTTTAAAAACAAAATTAACACGAAATAATTGAAAATGCATGGACAGAAACTAAAGCTGAATTAAAATCATACGTTCCCCGCGCAGACCAAACAGTCTTTATTTAATAATACAGCAGGCTCCTGGGTGAACAGGCTCCATGTCTAAAAATATTTCAAATGCATGCAAGCTATTGGTTTTGAATTGAAGTACACAAACTCGTTAGCTGTAAAAATTAAATCAACCTAACCTTTTTATAACATCTTGATAAGTAAAAAATACATCATCTAACGTCTCACGATGAGATTTCCAGTCAAAATCAATAAAACCATCTTTACACTTTTCGTCGGCCATCTTCAATAACATGCAAATACTTTATGTTAGCTACCATCATCTAACGTCATCTAGTGTCATTTAGTGTCATCTAGTGTCACCTAGTGTCATCTACCATCATCTAACGTCATCTAGTGTCATTTAGTCACAGAAGAGATAAGGGATTTAGTGTTAGGGTTAGTTTTTTCTACGTTATAAAAACGGAAACCTTATTTTGAAGTATACTATCTAGCGATCACCCTAGCGACATCTACTGTCATCTAGCGTCATACAGTGTCATTTAGTGTCATCTAGTGTCACCTAGTGTTACCTACTGTCATCTAGAATCATCTACCGCCATCTAGTGTCCAGTGAACTCTATATATAATGCTAGTGTCATCTAGTGCCATCTACCGTCATATATCTATCTACCGTCATCAACCGTGATCTAGTTTCATCTACCATCATTTAGTGTCATCCAGTATCACTTAGTGTCATCTACCGTCATCTAACGTCATCTAGCGTGATCTATCGTCAGTGGCGTAACGCAACCGCTGGGGGCCCTCCGTCAATCGGCCACTTTGGGCTCCTTTGCTACACTAAAAATAGGCTCCAAAAATTTTTCTCGGAACAATTTATTTTTGGCGACCCCCCCCCCCCGTCGCCAAAAAATTTTCGGACATTGTACCATTTTAGGGGTCCAAAATTTTTTCCGGACATACCCAATGAAATTGCAATTAATACATTCTAGTATCTCGTCCTTTACCTCAGCCGCGACGTACTTAATCCGTCGCAGCTTCGGGAAATTTCTCGACGGATTTTGCCTTTTCCGGAGAATGGTTTTTTTTTATTCAATTCAATTCAATTAATTCAATTCCCCAGAAATGTGCTATCAATTTTTTTAAGGTCATTTTTGTTGGGGGCCCCTAAAGTTCGGGGGGCCCCCGTCTCTGGACACCCTAACACCCTCCCGTTACGCCACTGTCTATCGTCCGTCCTTTTTTTAAGGATTCTTCCGTGGTGGGGATAAACTGCCAAAGGGTCCATTCTCTCCAGTATACTTTTTAACCACGGCGGTCTGTGGCTAAAAAGTATATCAGATTTCACTATACTTTTAGCCACGGAAGTCTGTGGCTAAAAGTATATCAGATTTCACTATACTTTTAGCCACCGTGGTCTGTGGCTAAAAAGTGTAGCAGATTTCACTATACTTTTAGCCGCCGTGATCTGTGGCTAAAAAGTGTACCAGATATCAGTATACTTTTTAGCCACGACGGTCTGTGGCTAAATAGTATATCAGATTTCACTATACAAAAAGCCACGGAAGTCTGTGGCTAAAACTCAAAAATCGAAAAAGTTCATCTAAGATTCTGCAAGTTATATTTCGGTGTAAACAGAAAAGCAACAAATGTGGCTTGCAGGGGAGAACTTGGTAAATTCCCTCTGCTCTTAACAATCAAGAAAAACGTAATTAATTATTTTAAAAACATATCTACCAGCTACCCGATGACTCAATCGCGAAACAATTAAGCACGCTAATAAAAGCATATATGAGCATGCTTATGAGAGGGATTCTCATAAGCACGCAAATACAAGCATATATGAGCGTCCTTATTACAGAGATTCTCATAAGCACGCTAATACAAGCATATTTCAGCGTGCTTATGAGACACCCATGCCAAATAAGGGATTCTCATAAGCACACAACTACAAGCATATATAGCGAGCTTATCAGAGGGA